CTTGAGCAGAGATACGGCGCAAGCCTCCTCCACTGACACTGAGCTTGCAAAACACAAACCTCAGCCCTTCCAACAGCCAACAAGCCCTGGCAGAAGCTCAGGGTCAGGACAGGCCTGACTTCATCCGACACTACAGCTGGGCCACAGAGCCAGACGCCACCTAGGCCAACCTCGGCAGCAAGCACGCTACCCTGCTCAGAACACCTTCCACCTTCCTTCCTCCTCAAGGCCACGATCTTTCTGGCTGTGGGCTCTTTTCTGATCATTTGTGCTAGAAAGTTTCTGATACTTATCCATCTCCAGACTCAACCTCCTTCCCTGACTGCTGAATTTCACGTGCCAGTGAATCGGCCGGCAAAAGCTCGCAAGCAGGAGCCCTTGTTTTCTGACCTCTTAGGGCCTAATGACTCCCCCGCCAACATCAATAGTTCAGTGGTATCTACGAATGCATCTGTCCCGCCACCTGAGCAGCAGGTGTTACGGGCCCAAGCTTGGGAACAACGCTCCTTCTGTTCCTACTTGCTGATCTCCTGGAGCTCCTATTCCAGGCACCCTAAGTTTCTTGGAAAGGAAGGGGTGACAAGCAGCTAGCTGGACAATGAAGGTGTTTATCATTCGGTGGGAACGGAAGGCTGGCCGTGCAAAGAATGGAGTCTGAGGCAGGGTGGTCAAGACACCCCCCAGCCTCCCACACAAGCTCAGGCCCATCCTCTGGAAGAGAGGAAAGAGCAGGGAGATTACCTCGATTACAGATACTGCAGAAGTTGCTGGGGCCCTCGCTGTGCTTCTTCAGGTGGTCTGCCATGTATGCTGCCCGCAAGTACTTCCCACACACCTGGCAGGGCACCTTGTCTTCATGACAGGCCAGGTGGGAGCGCAGACGGTCTCGGGTGGCGAAAGAAGCGTTGCAGGTCTGAGGGCAGAAAGGAAAACAGGATGAGGCGAAAGCAGGCATTCCACCCGTGACTCCTCACCAAGCACAGTGAAACGAAACCATTTCTGGTCAACACATTCGACTCTGTATAAAGAGAGCCTTAGAGTATGGCCCAGGCTTTCTTCCCAACATGCCACGTAGCTGCTCTGATTTCCCACATGGCTCCTCTCTGGACACCTGAGTTGGAACTCTTGGTTCCACTGACTACTGCGACATGGCACGCTAAATTCTATGCCCCTCCACAAAATGAAGATTAGCCACTTGCTCATTTGTAAACCTTAAGAACGGACATCAGTTGCACTGACTATAAGAGAATTTACAGAAGAGTCACTGGCATATAAACAGACAGGTCTTCCTGTTCTCCATCCTGGGTTTCCCTAGTTGCTTCATACAAAGAATTCAATTTATTCACTTTATTCAAAAGTGACATTAGTCTTGGCCACAGGGAAATGGAAAGGAAACGCAGCACAAAACACAGAGGTTGCTCATCATAGTCTTGTGAGTTTGTGTTGAAAAAGCAGCCCATAACATGAAAGTGTCAATCCTGCTAACCTGAGCATTAAAGCACAGAGAAAGAGGGCCAGAGGCTTTGGGAGCACTCGTGAAATGTTCAGTTGGGGCCGTGCCGGCCAGAACAAGGAAGGTGATACTACCCTGCGTTGACCGACGGCTCGTTCTGTGCCTGGCAGGCACCACACCTAGCCATTCAGAGGCACTAATCTCAGGCAGTCCATCCTTACAGCGGCCCTCCGAGGCGGGCTGTGTTACCGCCTTCCAAGAGCGTGGCCACAGAAAACTGTGCTGAGAGCACCAACTCACAGCCAGGTCCCAGGCGCAGATGACTCGGGGTGACGTTTAGCATCAGCACCCTGGGAGGGCAGGCCCAGGCCCGGGTCCTCTCCGATGCCTAGCACCTGACTCAGTCTTAGTCCCTGACTTCCCAGCAATACCCCTTCCTCAGCTGGGGCTTGCACAGGCACCCCAGCCTTGGAGGTCACGGAACGTCAGGAAGCCCTCAGGAAGAGTTCAATCTGGTGACTTTCAAGCAATTTGGGTTCTACGGAGGTGTTTCAGGGGTTCAGTCAAGTTTGACTCATTTTTCTTTCTGCATGTTTACTGTTTTAGAATTGCAAGAGAAAGCAACATTCACCTTTAACTGCATTACAGGTCGAATGTTAACCCACTGAAGACCTGCCATCTTGTTAACTTGCTAGAATGGAGATGCTCCTACTGTGTCTGTTTAACAAAAGCATATCCTGAATCCCAAGACCTCAAGGTAAGGGTCTGAACAGTCGCCACATACATTTATCTATCTCCTTACTGTACAATCAAACAAGAAACAAATCCATGCGATACTGCAGAGGCCGAAGACGTCACCGTTGCCACCCCAACCCCAAATGTCTGTGCATCAAGGACAGGCTATGCTGTTGTCAGTATCTTTTAGGTAAATGTTACAAACTTGAACAGAACCATTTATACCAATAAAATATGGCTTTTATTTGTTTCCTATATTGTTTATTCACTTGACAAATGAGGAAGCTGAGTTTATAGAGTGATCTGCGCAAAGCACATGATTCAGCTCCCAGAGAAAGCAGCAGTCCAAACACCCTGCCACACCAGACCAGTCGGTCCCCTACGGACCTTCCCCGCTACCCCGGCCGGGGCTCCTGTCTTTCCTGACTTACAGCTGGGCAGACGGAGGCCCTGAGCGGAGATGGGACGGACACCTGGCCTGAGAGCCAGCCCCTGGAGCCTGTGCTCTTACCATCTCCAGGCTCGGCAGAGGTGGCTTCAGGTGAGTGAAAGGTGCTGATACTTGGGTAGCCAGGACTCCCCTGACGGAGAGAGGTGACAGGACTGTGCAGGGAAACTCCAGCACTTAGGTGCCTCAGAAAGCATCATGGGTGCTTGGACTCATGGCCACAGGTGGGGCCCACCTCAGGCTGGGACCTCATGACCCAATTACAGGCCACAGTGTGGGGGAAACGCTGGGTCTTCCACGTAGCTCTCCAGCCTGCGAACCAGAGCAGGGACTGCCGTGGACAGCCTCAGGAGGGTGGCACCTGTCGGTTTATCCACCGTCAAGAGCCAGCTTTGCCAGCCAGTTGCCTGACCACCAGAGATGAGAGGCAGTGTGGTCTATGTCTCAGAACTCAAAGGAATCAAAAATGGACCAGGTGTGAGAAAATGCAGCTGAAAGCGCCCATTCAGGATTCTCCCGTGTTCCCTGGGAGCGGGGGCCACTGGAAGGGTCTGAAAGGGATGCCTTGTTTCTCTTGCCAACTTTCTTTTGCAATCTGTTCCTTAAAGTCCTGCCTGTCATACTTGCTACCTTAGGATAATGGAGAGCCAAACCTCAATTATCCACAAGTGGATTACCCATCTGGAGGATTAGCTAAGCAAAATTAAAATCCCAGACCAGGCTGCCTCTCCCCAGCCCATCCTCCATTGATTATCTCTCCAGGAATGAAAGCTAACTTTAGCCTGAGCAAACATAATTAGTAATGTAAATCTGCTGCTGGGCAGAAAAAAAAAAAAAAAAACACAAACCAACAGGAACTTTCAGTGTGTTACAAAGCCAAACTGAAGTGATTGTTGGCTTTTCTGTGCCAGAATTGACCCTTTGGAGCTGAGTCCCCAAGGTTTTCTAGGGGAATTTTGAAAGTGTATGAGTCTGAGTCTAGACGTGCCAGAAGTTCAGAGGACACAGGAGAGAGGGGACACAAAAGAGTGGCTGAAGGAGAAACCTATTAAAGAAGGGGACACTTAGGACCTCCATGCTGGGGCCACACAGGCGAAAGGCACTCCCCGTCTGGGAGACAGGGCGACGACAGAGGGACCCCGAGGGGGACAAGAGGGCACCCGCATGACCTGATTGCAGATGGAGCTCCGAACGGCCGCCCCGCTCACAGCCCTGTGCCTGGGCAGCCTGCCCTTGTTATGCACGCGTGCCAGGTTCCAGCCCAGCCAACCTGAGCTTGGGTCACCTCTGGTCATCACCACGCAACACCGAGCCCCAGTCACGCTCCCTTCCCTCCTCCGGCAGTTTCTCCCCATCCCAGAATTCCTACAGCTTTTCTTCCCAAGGGTTGAGCAGCTCAGAAATGGGGCCCAGTGGTACCAGGGACACTAGTGGACACCCGACCTTTGGTGGCCTATGAAGTCTGTCAGCCCCAGGGCGTGTCCTTAGCAGCCTTTTCCATAGTCCTAGAAAAAGGCCTAAGGGCAATGCATGGAGGCCAGAACCATAGGCCTTGCTGACACCCTTCTTGAGAGTATCAGCTCCCTTATTCCCACCTCCATTCATTCCTTCTCTAACGAGCTATCCCTCCAGCCCAAGCCACCCCACTAGCCCCTGAGAAGTGCAGCCGCTGGAAGGAGTGCGAGAGGTCTCAGCCGCTCTAGCCTCTCAGCTTCAGGCTGAGCTCCCCACAGGGTAATGTCCTAGCCCGGTGCACTCACAGGTCCAGCAGTGCCTGGGCCGTCTGGGCCAGTTAAGGACATTTAGGCCCAGCCCCCACGAGACTTGTGTATCACTGCCAAACCCGAGGGTTCACGCAACATTTGGATGGCCTTTTCGCTCAAGCTGTGGCACCAGTCTCAGTGACTGGCCCCTTCTGTCCTCTGTGGCATCAGGAGGGGCCGAGAGGTACACGCCCAGTTTTGCCTGGGGTCCAAGGACCCAAGTTCTAGAGAGCCATCTCTTCACCTCTGAGGCTTTCAGAATACACACCACGCAAAACGGATGCCCTTGCTGGTTAACCAAGCCCAGGCACACCTGGCTGGCCAGCCCAGCACGTGAGAGCCAGCATGTCTTTACCCGCTGGGTCATCATTAGAGGAGTTCTGGCTATGGGGCTGGAGCTGGGCCAGAGGTCTGTGACAATGCTTGCGGGAGTGGGCTCGAACACCGAGGGACAAGGACGTCAGTGTTATAACACAAACCAAGGACAAAAAACACAAAGCCTCGAATGTTAGAATTAAAACTTTTATCATCACTCCTGTTATCCCCGCGGAGTTTGCGGGGGCTAAGGGGGCAACCACCGGGATCCAAGGGGGGTGGGGCGTCTCCATCTGCTTTATCAGCCCCCAAAGCTATACACCGGGATAACCCAATATAAAGCTACTGGTTAGTCTAGTTCCTGAGCAGACCTGCTAATAAACCTCAAAAACACAAATGTCTAATTCACTAGCCAGAAATGAAAGCAGGACCTGTCTGAGTGGGAAGGGAAGAGGAGGGCAGTGCGGGCTGACCCAGTTGGAGTCCCAGTTGGAGTCGCAGCAGAGTCCGCTCTGGAGGGGCATTCACTCCCAGGGTGGGGGGAGGGGTGGCCAGGCCCCATTCTAGAAACCCCCTGCCTTAGGGGAGGTGATGCCAGGTTCGGGGAAGCAGAGAAGCCAGTGGCAGAGTTCCCGGCCACGCACCAACCTCCAAAGTCACCCAGGCAAGGACAGACACCCAGGGGCACCTGGAGGCCGTGGGGCGGACCAAGAGAGGAGCTTCTCGCTACCCCTATCTGGGATCCCTGAGCTGGGACAGACTCCAAGTCACCCTGAGAGGAACCGGGTATGGGGGTGGGAACCACTCTCCTGGCCTCTCCCAAAAGCAAGGGTCTCAGAGCAACCGCCACTCCCGTTCCCTCCACAGAAAACCCTCTCGGCGGGCCAGGCTAGCCTACAGGCCACTGGGGAAAGGCCCGGCTGCCCTCTGGGGCAGTCCAGCCCTGCCTCAGATATCCCGGAGGGGCTGGGCAGAAGAGAGCGTTGCTGGAGTGTGCTGGGCCCAGGTTTTCGAGGGCCGGGAATGATTTTTTTAGAGAAAGGGAAAAGGCGGTGTCAGGAACCGAATGGGACGACCTCCACAAAGCAGGCTGGGCAAAGTCCCATGATGGCAGGTCGCTAGGAAGAGATTCCAGGGGCGGCAGGCCGCTGCTGCTCCCAACCCACACCTGGAAAAAGGGCAGAGAGTGCAGGTTACCCCCCCAGGCCACCGGGCATGCCCCCACTGCCCTCTGGGCTCCTCCTACTCTGCCGGGCTGCTCAGCTCACTACCTGGGAGAGTCAGAATGTGCTCTGTGATGAGAAAACCAGAGACAGAGAGGAGGCAACGAGGCACAGATGGATCCCAGCAGCCCGACCCCTGGGTTATCCTCAGGAGAGGCCACCTCGCCTGGCCTGTGTGAACAGCATCCACGCCTGGCCTCTGGGGGCTCTCTGGACTACCTACTGCACATCCATCCCTCCCCACAGGTCTCCCTGGGTCCTCCCTCCTTGCCACCAACAGGATAAAGAGAAGCAGGTTCCCCTACCAGAGGGTGTAGTAAGCATTCCACAACTCTGGCTCCCCCTCGGAGTTCCGATTGCGGGAACTTGGCACAGGGGAGGGGAGGTAACCAAGGAGAAAAGAGAGGCGTGTTTTCCATCTACACAGGAATGCTCAGTAGCCAAGAGAGGAAGCCCAAGTTTCTGGGTGCCACAGGGCCCCCAGATGTTGTTCAAGCAGACAAACCAAGGGTGAGAATCTTGCCCAGCCTTCCCTACCTATACTGCTACACAAAGAGCTCACAGGAGAGGAAACCACCTTGCTCTCCAGTCCTCAGGAAGGGTAAACAGCTGCCCGTGCTCAGAGATAAGACCACCCGCCCTCTCCACCCCCTGCGGCTTGGTGCCCTAACCTGAGGGGACCCAGAAGGAGCTCCAACTTGGGTCAGGCTGCCTGACAGACAAGTGGGAGGGCTGTTGGCTGGACCACCAGGAGCTCATTACAGACCCCACCCCCTGACATGGTGGCCCCTGCAAACTGCTGAGAACCAGAAGCGGGGCCCCATGGGGTGCCACTGCCCCCAGGACAACACTTGTGCAACGTGGCCCACCATCCTCGGAGCTGGCTAACACCAAGAGAGAAAAGCTAAGCAACAGAGGAAAAATGGAGACAGGGTGGGAACAAGGACCCAACAACCAGGAAGGAGGGGACATCAGCGGTGGAGGGGAGGGGGCCAGGGGGAAGAACAAAGAAGAGCAGACGGAGGGTGGAGGGACAGAGGAGGTGGTGTGCAAAGCGGTGGCCGGTCAGCCGGCCCAGCACACGCATCAGCTGGCTCACGGCCGGGCTGTAAGAACAGCAGCATCCTCTCAGCCCAGCTCTGCCCTGGCCCGGCCCCTACCTGACACTTGTGAGGCCGCTCGGAAGTGTGCACCTGCTTGATATGTCCATTCAAGTGATCGGGCCTGGAAGAGAGAGAACCAAGACAGACTTTAAAATAAGACCTGAGAAAATAGGGCCCCATTCTTGGCCAGACCCCCCCACCCCACCCCCACCGCTGGAGAGCACTCCCTCTCCCCGACCCCAGCGTGACAAAGACACAGTCACCACCCAGCTCTGGTTCCACAGGCCCAGGCCTCTCTGCCCTGGTTTTCTCTAGAGGGGAGGGCAGCGAGCATTTGTCCCTGACCTTGCCTACCCACCTTCCCCCACCAGAAGACTCAATGATCCCTAGGACCCGAGGAGGTGGCTTTAGAAGCAGACAGGGCTGCCTTGCTGCGGCCTTTCAGGGAGGGGTATGTGTGATTCATTGTCCAGGCTAAAACCCCTTAGAAATTCAGCATTCCCCTCCCCCAGCCTCTCCTGCTGTGGCAGCCAATGAATGCCACCCAGATGGAATTCAGTCCCCAGAGGCCAAGGGATGGAGCCTTAAGTCCCCAGCTGGGCTGGTAAGCCAGATGCCCGCCAGAGCAGGTGGGCAGGGGTTGCCTGACCGGTACGACTGGTTCCTGACAGGGGCCCCTCTGAGGGAGTTCTCCATCCCTAGTTCCACACAGAAGGTCCTCAGTATCCAGGCAAGTTAAAACCAGCCTTTTATTCTCAATATTCTCTTTACAGGAGAAACAAAACCACTCTCGGCTCCCAGACAAGTCCTCAGTTCCCTATCAGAATCGCCAAGAAGTGAATCTAAAAAGACACCCTTCCCCGCTTTCTCTATAGCCTGAGAACATAAAGTGGACCTGTGGGTTCAGTTAGGCTCTGGAGCCACCAGATCAGAGCTGCTCAAAGATTTTACTGTTAGGAACCTGAGACTCTAGGTCCCAAGCTCTGTGTCTCATGAGCCCGAGCGGCTGTGAGGGGCAAAGCTCGAGGTCACTGATCCAGGACTGCTGGTGCTGCGCCGGGGGATTCGGTGGCACAGGAGTGTAAGGAGTCCGAGATGCACTTGTTTCTGTTTCAGTCTCCCCCTCGGCAGCCATTCAAGAGGGGAAAGTCGCTGGAGGAGCCCAGCCTCCCGCCCCCAAAGGGGGCCCCACGCCTGGTGCCGGAAACACAAAGGGAGCCCAGGGAGAAGAATGGTGAGGCCGGGTGGCTGTGGCCTGAGGAATCCGGGCTCCTTCCCACCAGGCCCCAAGGAAGAGAGACAGTAGGGCAGGCCTAGTGCCAGAGAACTTCCCTGCAGGAAGGGAAAGCAGGTTCTTGGCCTCACCATCTCAAAAGCAGGGCCATTAAAACACTCTCCCCAAATCAAACATGCCCCTATAAGGTCAAGTGACCCTCACACTCCCCTATCTCCCATGAGCCAGGAAAAGGACAGGTCATGGTGGGGGTGGGACACCATTTCTCACCTGGAGAAGCCTTTCCCACAGCTCTGGCAGATGTAGGGCTTGCCCACGGACCCGTCGTGAGACCGCACATGGTAGGACATGCGATCTTTTCTCTTGAACCTCAGCCCACACACGGGGCAGGAATAGGGCTTCTCCCCGGAGTGGGAAAGCTTGTGCCGGTTGAGATGGTAAACGTCACGGAAGATCTTGCCGCAGATCTCACATGCCACCTGCTTCCTGGTCCGGCTCCTCTTTCTGGGGCCGTCGGGGTCCTCAGAGATGGGTAGCCCATTCTCACCCAGCCTGGGAGGAGGAAGATCGATGTAGCCCAGCTGGAGGCTGGTGACACCATGCTGGGCCTCATGCTGCCGGAGCCGGTTGGCATCAGTGAATACCTTCCCACACAGGCCACATGGAAGGATGCCTGCCTCTCTCAGGCCCCCTGGGGACCCGAACATTGAGTCCAGCAGGTTGGCCTTCCTTGGGCGGCCCCGGCCTCGTTTGCCAGTCAGGGGAGGGGCACTGGATGCCACATTGGGGAATGGGGAAGTCAGTAGTTGGGGGGACAGGGGTCCAGCCACCATGGGCAAGCGGTCCACCCCAGGTAACACAGGCAGGGAAGCTTGGCTGGCAATGGCTGCACCAGCTGCCCGAGCTGCCTCCTCCTCGGGCTGCATGCTGCCTGCGATGCCATTGCTGTTGGCTGCTAAGGCTGCCCCGTTGGTCATGTCCAAAGGGAAGCCCAAGTCCGAGGTCCCAGGGGGACGAAAGAGCATGATGTCAGCCCGGGCTGGGGGCACCAGGATCTGCACATTGGACTGTTTGATGACTTCCTGGCAGATCTCAATGACCGACCTCATCAGTAGGAACTTGGCAGCCGTCATGAGTTCGGGGAAGCTCTCCAGGCGAACCACGATGCGAGAAGTGTAGGCGAAGTCCAGGATGTCCCCGAACACCTTAGAGCTGATGGTGTGCATCTCCAGCTCCCGGCTGCCCCCAGCCCCGCCGCCCGGGGCCGCCGTTGGTCCCCCCACGTCAGCGGGACCCCCGTCCGAAGCTCCGCCATCGCCCAACTGGGCGCTGAACACCGACTCAAAGTACTCGCTGCAGGCGGCTAGCACGGCGCGGTGCGCTGGGAAGCTCTCGTCGCCCACCCGCAGAAGCACGTCGCAGAAGCGCCCGCCGTTTTTGCGCTGCTGGTTCAGGTTGTGCAGCATCTCGGTGCTGTGCCTGCTCACCTGGTAGGTGTAGCAGCCCGACGGGCCGCAGGAAGCGTCGTTCACCCGCTCCATGGCCGCCGCCCCCTCCCCACAAACCGGGCCGCGGCACTTTCCTGCCCTCCTCCCTCCCCCTAGGCAGCAACAAGAAGGGTGCAGCGGACGTGTCTACACTCCCCGCACGTGCCGGCCCCGAGCTCTGTAGTCTCGCAGGTGCGCGGAGCGCACACGCCCCCTGCCCGGATCGGACTGTCTAGACTGCAGGGCGCACCACCCCCCACATAGCGGTCCCTACGCCTGCTGGATCGCGTGCTCCTAGCTCCTCTCAGCCCGCCCGCCTCCCTTTCTCGGTCTACCTCCGGGGGTAACAGAGCAAAGAGGTGCGCCCCTCCTGCAAACGCGCCTGCCGCCTCCCCTCCCGCCCGCCAGGCGGCGCCGGCGCGCAGCCAACAGGGGCGCGCGCGGGGAGGAGGAGGAGGGGTCTGACGCGCAGGCGCGCGCGCGCGCCGCGGCTTTTCGCGGGCCCGCTGGGGGCGCGCGCTGCGTCCCCTGCAAAGCGCGAGCCGGGGCGGGGGCGCCGGAGCAGAGGAAACAAAAGGCGAAGAAGGCGGCGGCGGCAGGGCGCACACTGGGGCGGTAGCACCGGCCGGGTTCCGAAGCCTGGCGGGCGGAGGAGGCGGCGAAAGCTGGAGCGGGCGGGCGGCGGCGACGGTTGGGTGGGCCCTTTCCCGGGCCGGGCGAAGGCGGCGGCGAGCTGCGGCCCCGGGCTCCGTGTGTTCGGAGCGGAGGAAAGATGGCAGCGGCTGCACTTCCTCTTGCACTTTCACCCCTGGGGGGAGGAGAAGGAGGGGGCGATACCAACAACACCCCCCCTCTCGCTTGCAGGGAGGAAAAAAAGAAAGGGCAAGCTTGGTGTGGGGGGCTCCCGGCGCCCCCAGCCCTGCACGTGCGCACCCGGATCCCTGGCCCGGGCCGCCCCGCGCTGCAAACTTTCCACTTTCTTTGTGCCGAGCGCCCCCCCCTCACCCAGCCGAGGATGCACGTCCCCCCTTCCCTATTTATACAACCCCCCCGCAGCTCCGCTCCCCCCGCTTCCTGCCCCCCCTCCCCATTCCCCAGCTCCGCCAATGCTAGCGCAGCTGAGCCCCCGTCCGGCCCCCGCCTCCCCACCCCGCCCGCGGGGCCGGGGGCTGCAGTCTCAGCCCCCCCGGACCAATGCAAACGAAGCGCCAACCCAGCAAACCAGCTCCCACTGCCCCTCCCTCCCCGCCGAGAGTGGCGGCGTACGGACGGGGCGGGGGGAGGGGGACCGAGGGGTGCAGATCTGGGCCCCCAACCCCAGCTTGCAATGTGCACTAGTAAGTGGAGCGGGCTTCAGTTACCCTTCGGAGTCCACCTTTGATGCGCGAAATCCCCAGAAGTCGCCTGCCGACCGTCTTCCCTCTCCCAACCCTAGAGAGAGCCCGGGGTCCTGGCTGGGGACAGGCCGAACCTCCGGAGCTGCTTCTGCACCCCGCGCACCGACCGAACGGAAGGGGCTGTGCGCCCTAGAGAGGTGGGGAGAAGAGGCCATCGTCTATGCTCTCCCCCAACCATAACGCCGAGTCTCCTGCCCCGGGGAGCAGATAGTCAACAGCGCAGGGAGGCAACAACATAGAGGCGAGGGCGGAGGACAGATGCAGGGGTCCGCTCACACCCCAGCCATCCCCAGGGAAGTGAGGGTATTGGAAGGTTTGGGGAGCGCCCTTTGGCCTCTAGAGGCTGGGAGCATCCCCAGCGCCCGCCGAGCGCTCGGGCTATAGGCCCCGCGGGCAAGCCTGGGCGCTTTGTCCCCGGCTGGCCCGAGGATGCTGCCGCGCGCGGGTTGGATATTGAGGTTCGCCTGCCGAGGAAGCTCTGGCGACCGCCACCGGGCAGGCCGACTTGGAGCTCTGGGCTGCCGGCACCGTGTGTGCGGGCGGGAAGTTCCCACAGTTGCAAAGAGGGAGCGAAGTGTGTGTTCCAAACTTTCCACGGTTCCAAACTGAGCGCTTCCATTAAGAGAAGTGGTGTGTGTGGAGGAAAAGCATTCTGGGTATTAGCATGCAAATGAACGGGCTCGGCTTCCAACTCCACTCGGGATTCCCACCGCCTCGCGCCTTCCCTGAGCCAAGCCACGCGCGCCTTGGGGGCTTCCGCGCGTGGCGCCGCGGGAGGATCCGAGTTCGAATTCGAGAACTCGGCTCTGTGGTTGCGTGTTCTGGTGCGTCAGTTGGCCTCTCTGAGCCTCTCGGTTAAACAGTTTTCCTAATACGTTCGCCTTATAGCACCTGTCTCAGGAAGTGATGAGGGCTCGAAGATTGTGACTGCACAGAACCTAATTCTGGGCTTGGTCTCTTTCTCCTCACACACCCCCACCCTTCCTAGGGCGCAGTAGGCGCCAACAGCCTGTTGGAGAGAATAAATGAAGCTTAAGAGACTTGAGGAGAAAGTTCCTGGACTTTCCAGGCTATTTGTGTTGTAAGCCCAAACTAGCTGTGTCACCTCCGGCTTAACTTTCCTGAGCCAGAGCTCAGAGATCCGTGGGTGGATTCTGGAACGAGCAGTTTTTTGTGTGTGTTCCAGAGTGCAGCTGGAGCGGCCACAAAGAAAGATCAAAGGGATCTGATTATTGAGTGCCTACGGTGTATGCACATCGTCTCTCCAAGGCAGACATGGCTATTTCCATTCTCCTGCTGAAGAAACAGGGAAATAAGTGACTTGTCCAAGGCCACACAGATAGTGGGAGAGCCAGGAATCCAACCGGCTAACCGGAATGAGCCCCTTCCTTACCAGTGACTTCCGAACCCACTTATTGGCTCCAGTGAAACAGAGACTGGACCATCACAATTTGCTGTGCTTAGAAAAACAATGCTGTGACTGGATTCATCCCAGAGGGTTTACCCTGAGAAGATAGGTGTGCAGTGCTCTCAAGACCCTCATCCACAGCACTCTGAGGAAAACGGGAGATGGATGCATCAGTCTCATTTTGCACCTAGGAAGCTTGAGGCTGAGGGAGCTTGAGTGAGTGGCCTAAGATACTATCTTGGTGTTTCCCGAGGCAACACCATGGAATCCGGAGGCAAATCCAGATTCCAGTTCTGACCCCACCTACATGTCACCTTGGCATTTTATGGGAGGCCTGTAATAATCTCTCGACCTCATAATTCAACCTTCAGTCTTGCCCATCTCTTAGGCTCCTGGGATTCCATTCTATACTTCAGGCTACAAGGCATGCTTATAGAACACTTTTTTTTTTTTTTTGTAATTGAGGTGAGATTCACATAAAACTTAACCATTTTAATGTGTAATTCAGTAGCATATATTACATGCGCAATATGATGCAAGCAATACCTCCATCAAGTTCCAAAACATTTTTGTTATAACAGAAGAAAATTGTATACTCATTAGGCAGTCGCTCCCCACTCCTCTCTTCCTCCAGCCGCTTCCTGCAGACTGAATGCAGAATCAGTCTGCATTCTGTCTCTATGGATTTACCTGCTCTAGATATTTAATATAAATGGAATCATACAATATTTGAACTTTTAAGTTTGGCTTCTTTTACTTTGCATAATTTTTTTGAGGCACCAGTGCTTTATTCCTTTTTATGGCTGAATTTGATTGTATGGATATATCACCTTGTCTTTATTCATCCATTCATGGCCTTTTGGCCGTTGTGAATAGTGCTGCTATGAATATTTGAGTACAAGTATTTGTTTAAATACCTGTTTTCAATTCTCCTGGGTAAATACATACAAGTGGGATTGCCGGATCATATGATAATTCTGTGTTTAACTTTTGAGGAGCCAAACAAACTGTTTGCAACAGCAGCTGTACCATTTTACATTCCTACCACACACATCTTATAAGTAATTTTAGAGCTAGTTAAACATCCCATTTTATGAATGTGAACATGCTGAGGCCCAGAGACGTTAAGTAACTTGTCTAAGGTCACAGACAAGGGTCCAGATCAGAACCAAACTTTCCTGAGTTTCTGGCTTTGCATCCACTAAGAGCCTCTCACCCTCCTTCAGAGACCCAACTATCTGCCTGAGCATTTACTGATTGATTTGACCTGTCCAGTGAGCAACTGAGTTAACCATATTTATGAAGTTCCTTTTTTTCCCCCTTGAAAGAGCCCACTGCCATCTTCCCATTTCCAGGCTGCACCTTGAAAAGATGCAGAACTCACAACCCCTGTGTCTGTCCCCTGCTTGGCCAGCCCTCTTCTGTTGTCATGGAAACCATGCACCTCCATTTTGGCAGTGTACCAGCTGGACAAGGAACTGAGAACAACCTTGTCTCCCAGGTTAAGTCAAGCAATCAAGGTTATTCAGTCGCTAGATCCATATTTATTGAGCACATACTAAGTAATAGGAGTTTTTGTTTTAGATGTTAAGAATACAGCAGTGAACAAGCTAGACCATGGACCATGCCCTCAAGGAACCCACAGTCCATGGGAGGAGACAGACGGGGGAAAAAAAAGGCTTTCCTGGCTCCACTCCCCAGTTCTTCAAACTCTCCCACTGTTGAATCCTGCTCAAATCCCACTTACCCTGGGGCATCCTCTCCAGGATCCCAGGTCTAAGTGGTAGCTCCTCTCAGCTCTCAGAGCTTTTATTTACTTGTCTTGACTGTAAAAGCACTATGTGCATTGCAGAAACTGTAGGAAATACATGAAAACACAGAAAAATAAAGATCCCTCTCTAAGTTCACCAACAGTTAAACATTGCCAACATTTCCTTCTGGTCCTTTTTCCTTTCTACATATGTACAATGTTTTTGTTTTTAACATAATTTGGGCCTATTTTCTTTAAAACAATCTTATTTATTTATTTTTAGAGAGAGGGAAAGGGAAGGAGAGAAACATCAATGCACCAAAGATACATCAACCCGTTGCCTCTCGACGCCCCCACATGCCCCCAACCAGGACCTGGCCCACAACCTAGGCATGTGCCCTGACCAGGAATCAAACTGGTGACCTTTCAGTTCACAAGCTGGTACTCAGTCCCCTGAGCCACACCAGCCAGGGAAGGGCTGATTTTCTATACAATTTTATAATCTTATACCAACACGATTCGAAGTTCCCCCTGAGAACAGTGTCAGGGCATTGATAATAAGCAAACATTGGTTGAACACAATGACACCCATGGTACTTAAAAGTGTCCTTTTTTTACCCTCTATAATCCTAGAAACAGCCGCTCTGGGATTCTCATTTTACAGGTGAGGAAACTGAGTAATGGCCAGGTAGGAAAGGAAAGGAATGGCCCAAAGCGTGTAAAAGGCAGAGTGGCACTTGGACCTTGGCCTGCTCCTGGGGCCTTCCCACGAACCCAGGCTGCCAGGCCTTGTCCACAGATTGGCCCTGAGCCAGCAGCCCAGCTGGAGGCAGTGATGGAGGAAAGCACAGG